AATAATACTAGCCTTGTTTGCATTGGTTCGCTTTGGAGTGGATCAGTACCACTCCGTTTGAGGGGTCCGAAGTAGACCTTGGAGGTATTAGCTCATAGACAGGCCAGCGCGGTACTGATCACTTTAGCTTAGATGTGGCTACACACAAAACTAGATGATTGGACAAGAGAGAACACAGACTTACAACGGCAAAAAGTCACTATAACCACTATAACCATAAAATAATAATTTCTCACTAAACACTGACATGATCTTGTGACAAACCATATTTCTAGTTATGGCAATTACATTTGTTTTACAATTATGTTTTAAACAAAGCTACCATCAGCTGTTTCCTGTTTATTGGTATAATTCACAAGTATAATTCAAATAGATTTAGATTTTTTTTTACTTAAGACATGACTTTGGGTTATGTCTGTGTCTCATGTAGCAGAGACCTGCCTCTGGACACGGAGCTGTGCTCAGAGCATAGAAATGCAACTTGGCTGGAGTGACCTGCACCAAACAGACCCACTCCAAGGTGGCCCCAAATGAACCGTGCAAGTGGAAAAGAGACAAATTTTGAAGTAACAGTACTCTTTCTTCAGTAAAATGTTTAGCTACTTACCTACCTCTTTACACAGTCCCAAAATTCTGTAAAATCCGATTAGTTGTCAGCCCCACACTGTAGCACAGTATCCCCACATGAGGTGCTCTGAAATCTGGTCTGAATTAAACATGCCAGGTGCCTCCCACTGAGCTCTCAGCTCTGCTCCAACTGTTTCTGTCGTGTATGTGTCGAGTGGGAGAGAGGTCAAAGAGATCCAACCACATCACATCGCCTACAGCATAGAGAAGGGCTTAATTAGGCTTTAGAAATTAGACGGTATTTTTGACATGTACTCGTAAAGTGTTATGTAATATTTAAATGAGATCACATGAGTAAGTGTGTAAGTACTGTAAAAAGTCATCATAACAAAATGCATTTTGGAAGTTATACAATAAACACATCAATAGCTAATTTGAGCATTGTCAATAAAGTAAACATATTTTTGTAGCTCAAAACAACAGGAACCACAGTAGGGACCAGTATTTCAAACATAATCCACCAGGATTAATCCAGATGGATTAGATTTGAATCTGAAATTGAGTATTTCAAACCAGATTTGATCCACAAGATTCAAATCCAGATTTGAAAAGCCAATCCAGCCTTTGATCTGGATTTTTTGCCCAGATTTTTTGTATTTCAAAACTTTAGAGCCAAATGAGGAACATTTTGATTCTAACAAATCAGGATGATAGTGATTCCACCTCACAGGTGGATTTGTAGCAGATCCAAGAATTTAAATCTTAATTTCTCACATCTTTTCTCACAGTTTGAAAATGTATTCAAAATATGCATATTATAGACAATGTAAGTCAAATTATTAAATTTATTTTGTGAATGTCATATTTAATTAAAAATTATCTGACTTATCATTGTCCAAGTGGCACCTTATGATAAGAAATGTAACAAATTCAAATTCCTGTGTTTAAGTTTAATATGAGTACAGACAGGTTTTTCTGATGAAGATATAGCTCTGACTGTGACATCAACAAATCTAAATCATTATCTGGCAGCATTGTTAGATTCTTGGTTGATTCTGAAAATGTTATGTCATGATACCACAAACTATGGTGCCACTGAGTAAAATGATTAAAAACCAAACAGATGGTTAAATGTTAAATGTTCTGTGTACTGGTAAACTTGCATATCCTGCATTTGTTCAAGCATTTATTTCACATAGATATTATTTGTTTGATATAATAATTTAGTTTAACATAATGGATTATTTTAACTAGCTAGACATAATGTTTATTTACTATGACAATGAAAATCTGCACGCACCTCTTTATTTCAGTTAAAAACTCTACATCACTTCCTGCTTCCTGTCCTTGATTCTGTGTGCAGTATGGATTTGGAAATCTCTATCCAACAAGATCAGGGTCATTTTGATCCAATCCAGAAAAAAATTTAAATACTGGGATCAAAATCCAGGATTTTAGAAAAGATTTGGGATCATTTTGATCTGGATTCAGAGTTTCGAAATACTACCCCCATGAAATATTATATGATTTGTGATTGTCATTGTCATAGAGTGAAATATATTAAAAACAAAACAAAAACAACAAAAAAACATGTTTTTTGTTCTTTACTCTTTCACTGGGTCACAGGCCACTCCTTGTATCAGCCCAAAGCCTAAATAAATGGATAGGAATGTGTCAGACTGGGAAGGCAAGAACCAAATACTTAAGCAGTGTATTACAGTTGGTTTGGAAAAATGTGGAAAAAGGACCACATATGTATATATGCGTAATAATAATCATATTTTAATTAAACATGTTTGGCGCTTTTTGCAGATTTAAAAAAGTAAAACAGCCCTTCTGTCCTCCTCCTGCTCTTACTGATTGGTGATTGATGACTCTCACTGTTGACTGCAGAGCCTATAGTCTCAATAGGAGCCAGTTGGCCTCATAACTATGTCTTTTTAAGGTTGTGGATGTGTTTGTGCTCCCCATCGGCCACCAGGGACAACCAGAAGCAGCAGGAGTGTTGATGTGACCTGCTGACACAGCGAGCCATAAAGCCATTGAGGAAGGAAGGACAGAGAGAGTGAGGGTGAGAGGGAGAGAAGGAAATAGGGAGGAGGAGGGAAAGAGAGAGAGGGAGACAGGGACAGGCCAGCATTCATTCTGCTTGGTCATGGGGGTTACTCAAGTCAGCCTTCACTGGATGACTAAATGAGCATTAGCCAGCCTGTGTTCGTCTAAGAGAAGGTAAATTACTTAAGCTTCCTGGTAAGATTTCACCCACGTCTAACCCCTGACTGGATCAAGAAATCTCAAGTGACCATTGATGCATAGAGTACACCAAGTGCATCTGCAGGTTAACTATTCCAGACATTTTAAAGCACTATAGTAAGATATGGTTGATATTTATCATGAATATTTCAACAGAATACTATAGTAATGTGCAAAAGTAATACATGGAGAAATAAATTTATTTTGATGTGTGTTTGTTTTGTTTTTTGTGGGAGTTACCTTCTTTTCTGATCCTAGATTAGTCTCTCATTATTTTCTCAATTTTTTTGTTTTAAAATGTTAACATTTGTACTTTTTTCTTTATCTTTAGCATTGAAAAGGTTGGCTTGGCGTATGACATGAATAATCTTTCATTTGTTGTATTTAATGGTTCTGATAAAAAAGTAAAACTAAATGTTATGGGCATGCCTTGCAATTTTCAACCAAACTTGATTCAAATGCATTCACCAAGAATCCCATTTGGCTATGATACTCTCAGGGCAGACATTGGAGTAAATGACTGTGGACTAGTCTGTAGCTCTTATGCCAGGAAAACATCAATTTATCAGAAAAATCACCCAAAAAAGGCTGCTTTTTTTTTCTTTTTCTTTTTTTTAGAATACCATGCATTCTAAGTTATATCAGTGACAGACGAGGACAAAAAAAATAAAATAAAATCACATTACTGTTACAACAAAAGGTGCCCTTGTACAAGTTAAGGGTTATTTGAATCAATATCTTTATTTGTTCATTTTAATGTGCTGAAAACAGAGGAGTAAACACTTTTCTTAGCTTTAAAAAAGGACAAGGAGGTCTCTGTAACACTGAAATCATTGGGCAATTTGTTCATTATACAAATAATACATGTTTCTCATATAATATGTGTGATTAGGAGTCACCACACAGGGATACTGCCATGTCACTTATTTACAATGATAGACAAGCTTCAGTTCATTTGGCTATAAATGCTTCAATTGTCCGTAATGTTTCATAATGATTTGCATGAGTTTGTGCAGCAGACTTTACAGCAGCGCATGAGGTGTGACAGGCTTGTACTGGACAGACGAGGAGAGAAGTCACTTCTCCAGACAGTGAGGACAAACAGAGACATAGACAATGCAACTCAGTCCCATCCTCATGTCCCTTACAGCAGGTTGGACAATGCCTCCAAAACTAGACCCAGTCTGTCTTTATAAAATCGAAGCACTGGCTGGGTTTAGATATTGAACTCAGGATCGAAGAGCATTTAATTAGTCCATTTCATAGAATTAACTAAAAGTGCTATGCCATCCAATTACTCTTATCTTTTCTGCCTAGCACATGGCCTTGCTCAGTGAATATAAACTGGGCTAATGACCAAACATCTGCATGGCACATTTGGGGAATGAGAAGTGACTGTGGAGATAAAGTGACTTTATCACAGCCCCCATATGTGAGCTGATATTACAGGCTTCCTCTGCTAGCTGCTCTCACACAGAGACAAACAGCGCTCACTCAATGGAGGCCTGTCAGTCTCAGCACTACTTCCACACTCCCTCTCCCTCTCAGGAGGCAGCACACACATGCACACACAGGTAGAGCAATAACACGCTACTGTACACAGGGGCACGCATTCACACAGAATGAAGCATTGCACTTACCACGCTTTGTATAAAATAAATATGACTTTGCACCTTCTGTCAACAATAGACTTTGTTCTTTTTTCTGAGTGAAATAGTTTGCTACTGAATCAGTAAGCAAGGAGCCCCTTCGTCCCATTGGCCCTCTTGTTGAGAGGGATAGATTACGAAAGATTTGAAATGTCAGATAAGAGAAAGATAATGCTATTTTACAGTCAAACAATAGTTGTCTGAGATTGTCAAGGCCTTCTTAAGATATTCAGTGAAGTTATGAAAGTCTTTGTAAAATGTTCACTTCCTTCACGGAATTCCCTCCACTGTGTATGGACTGCATTTGCTCTTATGACATGAATGTATTTAAACAAAGATGGAATAAGTCAATGAGGAGGGGAATGAGCCATGGCCACTCCACAGCACAGAAGTAGCCGTGCGTTGTGAATATGATCAGATACTATGGTCCATTACCGCACCTTACTGCAGTCCTCTGATCCCTTTAATGGCCTAGCCATTCTTCTGCAATCCTTCCAAGTGCGTCAGGCTTTAAGGTCCACTGAACTCCCTTCAGAATGATCGCTTCCATGACTTACATAGGATCTTTTGGAAAGCTCTACGGAAGTCCTGGTTGAAAATGGTGTAGATGACTGGGTTTAGTGAGCTGTTGCAGTACCCAATCCAGAAAAAGAACTTAAAAAGGGTCTCTGGAATTTCGCATGGTTTACGACATATCCCATAGAGACTGTAGGAGAAGAAAAATGGAAACCAGCAGACCACAAACACGCCCATAACCACAGCTAGGACAAAAGTGAACCTCTTCTCCCGGGCCGCAGATGCTTTCTTCCGATTAACTGTGCTCCGTCTCTTCCGGCGAGAAGAAAACAAATCTATGGATTTGGAACTGGCACGGGACTTCCTGCTGGAGTACTTAGAGGTGGTGCTGCTTTTCCGGCTGGACTTCCGATCACGTTTGTCATCATGGTGATGCTTGGAGGAATTCTTTTTGGGCTTTTCATCAGATGAGCTGCTGTCTTCATAGTCGTCATCGTGGTTTGCATGTTGGTTCTTGTCCTGGTTTTGGAGAGGTGATTCCACTGGTTGGTCCTGGCAGTGTCCATTCTCTCGTTCCTTAGTGCTCCCGCCCCTGCTGGACTTTATAGACCCGCCTTTTCCCTCTAATTGATCCATCCCATTTTCCTGTGTGGCATCAACGTCTCTTTTCTTTTCTGACATTGTTCGAGTTCTCGTCTTGGCCACTTGGTAAATTCGAATGTAAACAAGGATCATAATAACACATGGGGCGAAGAATGACCCAATGCTTGAGTAGAGAATGTACCAAGTTTCATCGTTGAGTTGGCATTGACTTTCATCTGTGCTGCTTCGGTCCATTGAAATAAGTGGTGGAAAAGATATTACTGCAGAGATGAGCCACACCACTACAATCATACATTTCACTCTTTTTGGGGTCCTCTTTAAATTATACTCTACAGCCTGTGTAACTGACCAATACCGGTCCAAACTGATGGCACAAAGATGTACAATAGACGAAGTGCAGAATAAAACATCCAGGGCTAGGTAAATGTCACACCAAATTTTGCCAAAAAACCAAAAGCCCATAAGTTCATTAGCCAGTGAAAAGGGCATCACTAGAGTGGCAACCAAAATGTCTGCACTGGCCAGGGAGACGAGGAATAAATTTTGAGGTGGTTTAAGGGCTCGGCTTGTTAAAACTGCAATAACAACCAAGACGTTCCCCACTATTGTGACGAGAATGATGAAACTGACCAGTCCTGCCAGACCCCAGATGGCCAGCTGGCTGTACCGACTCGGGGAGGTTGCATTAGAAGAGATGTTGTCTGCTTCAATTCCTCCATCCAGTGAGGACATATTAAAGAAATCCATTTTGACAGGTTCCAGTAAGAATTGAATGATTTAAATCAGTCTAAAAATGTATTCCATGTTGACTTTGTCTCTTTGAAAATATATATCTAAAATCCCATTGTCTCACCGCTTTAGTTCACATCTTGTGTCCGAGTTGCTCCTATGGAGAGAAAAGCAGTGCGTAAAAGTCTTTAAGGTTGTTATTCCCCAAAACAGCGCACATGCAGCCGCAGCGGAGTATCCACACAGCTCTGGGAAGGACTCCCTCCTATACGCGCCCGCATCTCTCCTCCGTCTCCTCCTCCCCACTGTGTCCTGACAGAGGTTTGTAACGACCACGTGTCTTTCTTACATTAGGGAAAAAAAGCTCCGCCCTGGCGAGGTAAGAAAGAGGAAATTAAGCGTCAACTTGATACTTTAGCGCAACATAGCCCTAGTTTGCGTTTCGCCATTTATCTGTGCGTAAAGATGGATCATGGTCAATTTTACTCGTATCCACGCGTCCCACGGCTTCTCACATCCAGACTGATGCTGTACGAAGAGTCCCGTAAAGAAGAAGCTGCTCACTCTCTCCTCCTCCTCTCCTTCGTGCGCACGCTGGAGGTCAGTATTGTAGCGGTGCGTCCCGGAGGATCGCACACACGAGCGAGCACAAGCGCTTTTCACCGCGAATGGACGATGAGCGGTGACTTTGTGCAATATAGTATCTTCGAGGTGCATAGATACCCAGTCTATTGATAAACTTATGCCTGTTTACATGAACGCGTTGCTCCGTCTGACCTTGGTGTAAAAACTTGTATTATTTTCCCTATTCTCTAACGCGCTTGTTAATGTTTGTTGAGTGATAAGATTACAGGATTACATGGTCTAGTTGTCATGTTGTAATCAAAGTGATACGTTTTTTTGATACGTTTTTTTTTTTTTCCTTTCCAAAAGCAGAGAATTATTATGGGAATGTGAGCTTGACTATTTGTGCAATGTTTAGGTCTCAAAAGTCAGGTATAGTTGTCTGTAAGATGGAAACTTTTGAAAGAATCCATTCACATCTATTGTGCCACAAGTTGAAAACAGTCCAGTGTTTTTTAAAAAGGTTTTTAGTTGGATGCTGGTATTGGCCCTTCCATCTATTGGGACATAGGGCTTTAGAATATAAGATTACAGTTGGAATTAAGAAAGTGCTAATCTTAAATATGAAGAATTTGATCTTTGAAATAGCTTAACATTGTTTTTCACAATCTACCATAACATGGTTCATACATACCTGCACATTTGCATATCAGTAGCATAATTTCTCTGTGTGTGCTGTATCTTAGGGATCTCCTGTTTCCCCCTCAGCGTACCGTTTGGCATTAAGTTCCTGGACCAGTGGGTTTATCGACCGTGTCTCCAAGCTAAGTACCTGTCATTAATCACAAAGCGCTCGGCCACTGAATAGCGAATTAAAGAGCACCCACAGCTGCACCAAATGTACATGTCTGGATTGATCCGTGTCAAGGCTGCTACGTTAGCCCATCACATCACAGTGCAAACTCGCTTACAGTGGCGTAAAGGTCCTGCAGCCTCCCCTATGTTCTCCTAGCTGCCTTTTTAAATAAGACCAGATCCATGCCGTAGGTTGGTCTAAGCGGATTGTGAACAGACAGATAAGCCTCATTAGGACCATTAAGTTGTGTCCTGGGGCATTGTCTCTGTCCATATAATCGTGGTACCATTGAGTGATCTCTGCCATTACCTCCTAGCCCTCTCCCTTTTTCTGACACTGCTCCCCTCCACCCTCCTCCACTCTCTCTCTCACAGTTAGCTGTTTTATTCACCAACTGGCAGCTCAAACCTCCAAGGAGAGCTGATTACTTTTTAAAGCAAGCCCCTGTACTTTTTCATCCTTGTAATGACATTTTAAAATATGGACTCTTAAATGGAGGCTGCCAAATTGTTGGAGTTTCAGACTAGTCTTTGCAAGCTGCTGTATTCTTGATTCTTCTTTGTACTTGTTCAAACCATCTAAGTCTTTTTGAGTTTAACTAATTAACTTTTTTTCTGTTGGGGGTTGTGCCACCTGCTTGCCTCCATGGAAAGGACAGTTATTGTTTTGCCTGAAATGTTCCTCCCCATAGCATTAAACTTACAATTAACAATATAGTTAAATTACAATTCAGTTATAAAAACACATCGAAAAACATAAAATGTTGTGGTGATCACGAGCATGTCTCCAGAGATATAGATACGTTTAACCAAACTGTGGAAGACAAAGTGGTAACATCTTCATGAAGACAAGCAAGTGTGGCCTCAATCAGAAAAGTTATATAGTGCACCTCTGACATCAACATATCTTAAACATAAAGTATTGCTTATACTCCTATACCTCAATATCAGCTCTAGTATCTAGTTAGCTGTTATGTAACTGAAATCATACACTACATAACCTCACCAATGTCCAGCATTTTTCATCCTTACATCATGTAGCGCATAACCTCTCCTAATTTTTAATATGAGTTCACCTATAAAGTTGGATATGGCATGGTTTTTATTAAGAGTGGAAGAGGGAGCTTATATGAGCCTCATAAGGTGCAACTAATAGAGCCTCCAAAAAGTAATATCAGCGGATGGTTTCTCCCAGGTTAATATGACTTCACTTTTGTGACCCATACAACTCCAATGCAGTGACTAATGCAATTTCACTGCATCATTACACAGTAGCCCCTCACAAACTGTTCAGCTGTGCCCAGTCCACACAGTACAGCAACTTAATTTAATTTATTTTATCAACATTGTGCCTCCAGTGTTTAGCTGTCTGTGTTGTATACAATTTTATGGGGGTCAGTTTGTTTCGTTTAAATTTATTGATCTATAAAAAAATTTGGATTTTGATTACTGTCCAGAAATTATTTTCAATCTGAAGGTACTGGTCTGAGGAAATGTGTATACAGCTCTAAAGGATGCTCTGGACTTGCTTGACTGTAGTTTCAAGTAAACAAGTCTACTCCTAACAGATAAGGGGTTACACTGATTAGTTCCTATGTTGTAAACTGCTTATCAAATTAAGAGATTAATATAATTGTGACTTGGAGTTATGGAGTTATTTTTCAAAATATTGTAAATTTACTGTAACAAGACTATGGTGTTTTGTTATTAACCCAAATATGTGAAAGGATCTGATATGATCAACTACAGTATACAGCGTGTTGTATACTAAGGTGGTCCCTATATTCCCCATAGAAATGAAAGCAATTAGCAGCCCGAACAACAGCCACATATAATCACCTCACATTCCCTAATGAACAGTGGTTTCCATAAGATTCCAATAAAGCCTAGAATATCACCAGATGTGGCAGAGACTGTCAAACTAACTCTAGCTCCTACAGCTTCCCAATGGTGTTGCTGCTAACACAAGTCATTAAAATATTCCATCAGCAGGGAGGAGTTGGTCTATGTCTTTCATTCATAATGTTGTGGTGGTTTCATTACAATATATTCAACAACAAAATATATATAGACATAGACTACCTTTAACACATTTCTTCCTTATGTCTGTCAAATCTTCACACATCTACTGTGTGCTTGATGGAGTTGTCCCTGAGTGCAGTCAGTTCGGGGTCAAGAAGGGCACACTGAAATACAGTAAGACTGCTTTGGCTTATATGGGTTAGCTGCGAAAAGGCAGACTTGTAGGTTGCAGTATTAATTGGTTAGTGTGTCCTCTGTGAGACTCCTGCAATTAGACAGGATGGGGGGTTTTCACTAATGACTGAAGACTGGAAATGCTGTGAAATTGCTCATTTTATTTATAGTACACTTGATTATCTTATATGCCATATTGAAGGTCCTTTGTGGAGTGTAATTTGTATAAAACTATACATTTAACAAAGCAAGTTAATTTAACAAACACAAATACTTTATGGTTTTCTAAATTAAATTGTGGCCATACCTTGACATTGCCTAATACTCAGATTACAGAAGCCAAACAGAGTTGTGCCTGGTTAGCACTTGGATGGGAAATGTCTGGGAATTTGTCACAGTGACTGCAGTGCATACTGTTGTGTCCTTGGGCAAGACACTTCACCCACCTTGCCACTTTACCCACTGATGGAAAGTAGCTAATGGCTGCAATTTGGTGTGTTTACAGCATGTATATCATGTTTGTTCATTAACATACACTGTTACAAATCAAAACAAACAAACAAACAAACAATAATACAAAATAATTGGCCTTTATACTATTAAGAATGCATAAAAAGTCTTCAAGGAAGTGCAAGGAATTTGAAATAAGCAGCAAGTTACAAAATTATTAACTAACAAAACTAACTTAATTACCAGAATGATTGAAATGCAGTTACTGATGTGAAGTATTAATTACTGCACTTAAGTGATACACTGAATTTTTATGTATGCAAAATATATCACTAGTATATTTTTCTTGATATTGCTGAGTTCATGATTGCTTAATGGCGCTCCTAAAAATGTTGAAGCCCAGTTAAATACACACAATCTTTCACAATGACTTTATTGTTTTTTGTCTTCAGCCAAGTCATTTTAGCTTCATAAAACTAAAGACATTTGGAGTAAGCGCATAGACACACTTCTTCTGTAGCTGTGCAAAGAAAGGTTGATGGTCCAATTATAAAAGTGTCCTCTCTTTTGTGATGAGTTACCAGGCAGCATGCGGTCATTACTGTCCGTTGGGCGACAGTTGGGTGAATTGGCAGATCTCTGACCATTAGGCATGAGGAGCTGTGGAGGAGCGTGACAGCCCTGACTACTGAGTCCACTACTGGAGCTGTTGCATCACGGACAACACATTGAGCCGTGGTTAGTGAGAAGTGACCATCTGTCCACTGTCATTTCAATGTGATGACTGATTGGAAAAAGTGAATACTCTCTCTGAAGTAGTGCACTGGTATATCTGTATATGCAGTGTGACAAACCAAGACAGTATTTTGAGAGAATCTGAAAAACTTCACAAATAACTAAGGGTACACATTATGGTTGTGCAATTAATGATGTTAATTGATTTGAATCGTCAG